ATAATCTCAGACTTTTCCCACACTGAGATGGCTTTTCCACAATATAACTTCGATTTAAGATGAATACAGCATTGAGCGCCCTCCGTACTTTGCATTGTTCTTCCCATGTAAAGTGGAAGATTCAAAGTTTTCACTTTCATCTGTTTGAGCACTTATGGCTTCTTGTGCACTGGTGAGGGGGGGGGGGAACAGCTAAGCATTACTAGTTGGAATATTGTGTCCACCTGTATCGGGCCAGTCTCTACATTGTGATATGTCAAACCACGTGTTGCCGTCAGGCGCGCGCGTGATTCGAGCATTCTATTGTACTGGGATGGCGTGAGTCATCCGGCTTCCCAACGAAGTGATTCGTGTGGCCTGTGAGTAGCGATCAGGTCATTTTGATCGTTCGATCATTCTGAGGGGCAAAGAGATTATCTTATGGTGTGCTAAATGTTCACTTGATTTGAAACACAGCTAGCAGCTGTGATGTTGCCATTTCATAATTGGGTCGCTAAACAGCATGTGATGAGGGTTCGCAATAGAAAAGGAGTGCACGTCTCGTGTCTTGCTTTACGGATATACGACTACCATTCATGGTGTAGGTTGTGCGAGTCAGATTATCCGAATTCCTGCTGTGTGCGCATGAAACAACTTCGCCCTTAGCGAAATGCACTCATTTGCAAACTAATTTGTTTTTTCGAGAGACTCACCTAGAACCCAGCTGAATCTACCGTTTGTGATGTTTCCAGGTAACTGAATGTGCCGCACCAGGCCGCCTCATGTTTCAGTCGCTACGATATTCGCGATACCGCGATACATGTATATTTGTAATGTAATACTCATAAGGTTGCTGACGAATTATCGACAAGTTTTCAGCAACCTTATGAGTAGTGCATTACAAACTTTGCCCTTGTCTCATCTGTTTACTGGGTTGCACGGGCCTTCATACCCTATTGCAAAGGCAAACGAACTGTACTCGATGGGTTACCTGTTCAAATGGAAATGCAGAGTCCACGCTTGAGTAATTTGATGTGGGCACCTACAATGGACAGTGGAAATGATCGCCCTGAAGTTGTACTTGCTTTAAACGTGAAAAAATTAAACATGAGCTTAAGAGGTTCCGGGCCAAATTCGACTACGATAGGGTTGAAAAGATTGAGTGCGACGTGGTGTGTGATATGGAATTTTTAAAGTCAAAACGCATTGTAGTGGAATAACATGTTATAATCCGTTGCAGTGGACAAAGTTTTTAAGGATTTCTACAATCAGGTTTGATACAGATGATGTTAGTAGCTCAGGTTGTTCAGTTTGAAGTCGAACCGTTCTCTAAGCTGCGGGATTTCGTTGCAAACGCTTCATCGCCACCTACCGACGCACAGCTGCGCTCCGCAACTCACTGATGGTGTCGCCTTGATTGACGATGAAACGTTTTCAACAAAGTGCCAAGCTCACAGAACGACTTGGCCGCTAGTTGGGATGTGTTTCGGTCACTTACAAAGAACCACAATTGGTCTTTTTTATTGGCTTCATCGTTTAACACGATATTTCGCGAACAGTTCACAAATAATTACATATACGAATACGTGAATACTGTTGGGGTCTAGAAGTTGAACGAAAATTTTTTACGAGAACCAAATTCTATTCAATGGGGTCTTTGTAGTTGAAACTGATTGAACCTCTCCAAACTGAGTCTGCTATCTGGGGAAGCATATCTGGTGCCCAGCGGATATGCTACCGGCGCCTCGCTAACTTTGGTAGGAGAAGCGGAACACGCATTCTCCCTACTTCCCAGGACAAGTTGACATGGAGGTTCCATGTGTTTGAATCGACCGTTGTTCCCACCAGACGGTGTTGCAAAGAAGTTAACAAAACCACCAACCTAGGAAAACCCATACAACCACTCAGTAGGAGTGTTACCCATCCAGCGAATGCTGGGAACAACCAAAGCTTGGCAGCTCCCACAGCTCGGTGACTGCTGAGTTATCTTTGTGCAATTCTATGTTTTACCCGACTGACTGACTGATTGACCTGTTAATGCCAAACTGAGTCTGCTATCTGGGGAAGCATATCTGGTGCCCAGCGGATATGCTACCGGCGCCTCGCTAACTTTGGTAGGAGAAGCGGAACACGCATTCTCCCTACTTCCCAGGACAAGTTGACATGGAGGTTCCATGTGTTTGAATCGACCGTTGTTCCCACCAGACGGTGTTGCAAAGAAGTTAACAAAACCACCAACCTAGGAAAACCCATACAACCACTCAGTAGGAGTGTTACCCATCCAGCGAATGCTGGGAACAACCAAAGCTTGGCAGCTCCCACAGCTCGGTGACTGCTGAGTTATCTTTGTGCAATTCTATGTTTTACCCGACTGACTGACTGATTGACACTGTTAATGCAGAGTTGACCAATAGTCCTGTGTATACGCCTGCCAAGTTTGTCAACATACCAACCATCGCCAGTATTTGGACAACATCGGGAGCGTTGAACTTATTCAAAGTCCATTGAATGACTTCTGCCATACTGGGTACTAGTGGAGCAACAGTATGGCGCGCAAGTTACTCTTTCCACTATGTTCAACTACGGCTGTCTACAGCTAGTCATTAGGACTCTAATTCACACTAAATTCGCAAGTATGCACACCGAAAACTTTGTGACTTACTGTCCTACTGCGCCGCCGTTGCTACCAGCCAATTCTTCCCACACCGCTACTGGCACCGTTCGGCATCCATGTAGTTCACCCTCATCTACAGTTTTAGCGGACACAGTCAGACGTACCTCAGCTGGCTATGTCGGGCAGTCATCAGCTGAATCGCGTTGATCTCGGTATTCGCCGTCGCTGAACAACCTGCACACATATATTTTACGGTGTGGACGGCGATGCAAGGGGAAGGTACCGCGACAGACATGTAAGTAGGGTGAATTACTCTTGAAAGGCATCAGGTGACCAACGCGACGACAACGGACATCGTGCAAGATTTGAGTAGACTTGTCAAAAAATGCTAAAATTAGCGCTACAATACCATACAAATTAGCTCTATTGATTTTGGTACAACAGCATAGCGGGAGGTTGAGACTTGTTCCTAAGAATTTCAATCTTAATGCACGCCTAGATGTGGTGGGATTCATGTGGCTTACCTCGACCTTAGTGAAAAACAGCTTCTGGTAACAGCAAGTCAAAAGTGGATGAAAGGCGAAAGGGGCATCGGAAGTTGTTTCTTCCTCTAGAGAGATGTATTTCTTTTGGAAGAAAGTTCAAGAAGGCAGGAGGAAACGTGTCAGTGGCGTTTGAAGCCTCGCGAAAGAGCTTGGAACTAATCCAACCCCACCTAAATGACGCGTCTTGTTATTCTCCGTACTCTCTTTCTCCCGTCCTTCTACTGCTAGACGAAAACAACTGTGCTTTGCTGGATCGATGTGGGTTACTGAGACGGTCCGAGGCATGATGGACGGATGCCAATTTGGGTAACAGATGATGCACAGCGTGAAACACAGTGAAAACCGGTGGTGACACTCCAAAAGCTGATGAAAGGCCAGGCTGGACTGCGCCAACGTTGAGATAAACACGTGGATACGTCACGTGTAGATACGATGGAAGTATGATGTTTACGCAAGAGGGTGCAGCGTCTGCGTCACACTATCGATCACCAGTTAGTATTGACAACGATTGACAGTTGAAAGTCGAATTTTGTCGCATTGCACATGTACAGTTTACCTCCAGTCCAGTTCCAGTTTCGCAACCTCATCCACATGCACAGTGTTGGAGAGGCTGCAAAAGTATGCTGAAGATCCCATGGGCACCTACTAAACTGTCAGTCACGAAATGAATGAAGGCCGTTAATATCAACCACGTGTATGGGCAGGGACTAACCGTCCAAGCCGGGATAGGAGCCACCATCTAGCGCTGCACTTTAATTGACCTCTACTGAAGAACGTCAGATCACATCGGACAACATATATGTTTAGACTGCGATTCCTGGAACACATCAAGTCAGGTCCAACATTTACTTTGATCGGTTGTGCCAAACGAGGTCAGTGCCACTTGAGATGGTGTTTACGGGGATTGGACTGAATCCCTAGTTTCTTATATTCTCTAGAGCGGAAGCCGTTCCACATTTCAGTGGGGGCGATACTCAATAAACCACTTGCAAGAGCTATACAAGAGTTGTCATCAACCCTGCCGTGTTGTGGGTAATTATGGGCGAAATCGAGATATCCTAAAAAGATACGGGTAAAGGATTCCAAGTATCCACTATCATCATGTGGTTCGCCAACTTTATTACTGCCTAGCATTGAAAAAAATCAGTTAGGACAAGCAGCATCATCTTCTTGGCGCAGGACAACACGTTCTACTTGGATCCTGTCAGGAACCCTTGTGAAAAACTCGAATTCAAACACCAATGATACCCCCATGGATAGTCTCTTCAACCTGTAAACTCACCTATTGAACGAATGTCCTCGTTGTTTAGCAGGAAACGCAACCGAACCTATTAGGCTAGAATCTGACTTAGCATTGGCTCCTCATACAGTGGGAAACCCAGCAGCTAGTCCAGGGAAACAACCATATGGAAAGAGTGACGACCTAAACAGTCGCCCGACCCCTAAGCTCATTGCCGTCTCCCTGGATGGGAACCCTGAGACGAGACACATCTAAACGTTAGAGTGTCAAACATGGCCCAATCGCGCCCTCAGTAACGCCCGTGCATCCAAGCAATTGCCCCCTAAACATAGCTCCCCTGACAATCTTCCCGATGAAAGGTCCATTACGCACCAATTATATCAACTACCGCCACCAATGCGCAGCTGTTTACCGCACCTCCCCCCACCCCAATCATCGGTGAACGGAACTGTGACATCTATAACTACTGTATGGCAAGTACGCGGTTCTTACAGCTGATGATAATGAGGTATATTCTGGGTCACGTTGGTGCTAGGGAACGGGTCTGACTAATAATCAATGACTACAGGATGGTCACTTTAGTTCTCGTTGTAAGAAGTTTCCGAAAAAAAGACCATCAAATCATAAAGTAAACTTGTATCGGGCATGCTACCAAAAATCGGGAGGCAGATGGGTGTTCAGGTGTGGATCACAGCATCGAAGGTTGAAAATTGAGCACGGTTAAAAAGACAACCGTACTGTTGTTGTTGCACAAAAACCCGATTGCGGGTGCAGTGCGAAGGGGAGTCCCGGGAAAATGCACACATAGACGACACAGGGTGCGAGGATTCAGAACAAAATCTGGAAAATGACCGACCGTCATCTTATGCCCCAGTGGTGCAAGGGACAATAAAAATCACAAAACACGTGCGTGTATCAACCGGTCGACCGGCTTGAAGTAGGAAAAATCCGTTCGACTTCTTCGAGGCCTTTATCTGGCGAGTGAACCAGACCGTCGATATATAACATGGGAACATTGACAATCAGCACACACGGAGAGGTGGACAGCGTCTGGAGTCAACTTTCTGAAAAAATCAATTAAGTAATAAATGCAAAGTGAGTACAAGACAAAGGTGAAAGTAGTTTCACAAAAGTGACGAAAGTTGGCTATTGAACTGGACGGTCTTATATGCCAAACAGTAAAAAGTAAGTCGAATAAACTAAGAGAAAGAGAATCATTCAAAAGATGTACTTAAATTTAATACCGCAGAGAAGCGGGCCACAATGTTCACCAGGCAATATACGAGCACAGGCACCTGACTTAACAAAGGCATTTTCCACGTGTAAGCATACTCTGAGTGTTGCGTTTCTGGGTGCCGGTCTCTTGGCACGTGCACCCGTTCACTTAAAACTGCTCAAACATTTACCTGAAATCCGTCTTGATAGCTTAAAAATATACAAAACTCTCCCCCATCGATCACTCTGGTTTCCGTTTGTAAATTAACCAGTTGCCTGTCGTGGCTCCGGAGCGCATCGGTAAACAGTTGGAACTAAAATATCAACGGCGTGTAGGTTGAACTGGTTACGTGAAACAGCCGAGTGGTCGTACAATGCATCAAATTTACGCTGCCATTTCGTAGTAGCCTTGGACGAAGCGCTCACATGCATAAGACCTTGAGAGACAAAGTTAGTGGAACAAAGATTGATGAACGAACGTTCTATGTTACTTTCCGGTATCAACAAGATTGCAGAACATCAGCATGATCCATGAGTCAGCAAGTTTGCAATAAAGACAGCGAAAGATCTCTGGATCAATTAGATAGCTGCACTGACAAATGCCTTAATTTTTTTGGTCAGCTTACCAGGATTGGCTCAACTGAAGTGATTGGGTGTGTTATCAAGGAGCACAGAGTAAAAGTGCGTAACCTGAAAGCGATCCAGTCTTCCGTCCTTAGTTTACGCCCCATAACAAGCTTTGGCAGGCTGTCTAAACAGCTGTAGATATTGTTGAAATCATACTTATGGTGTTTCCTTTCTACGACAACAGCGATCATGCCATCAGTCCAGAACGGCACTGGACAGCGTTTATGGATCCTTTTGGACAAGCTAAACATACCCTTCAGTGCGGCAGCAGTTAGAGTAGGCGACCACTGAATGGTCCTTCGCGTTTAGCCTGTCGTTTAGGTCCATAGCTACGATGGTTCGAAAAGTAACCAACAGACAAGACAATTATCTTTTAAAATAACAGATCGATGGGAGCTTGCGCAACACACATCCGGACCATCATTTTCCAAGGTCTAGTTGCAACAGATTACATGAGCATTGATTTATCGAATGTTGTAGTGGGACGTATGATCTTCCCGAGATTGGCCGAGACGCCTGGACCAATTTAGTATATTTATGCACCTTCCAACAGGACAGTAGTTGTGTAGAATATTCCTTAGGACTGGCTTGAGTAGAGCAGCTATAGTAACAACCAGCAATTACATATCGGCAGGCAGATGTTTTGAGCAGATGACCACCATATGGCCAGTCATTATCATGGTCCAAGCCGAACAGTTCAGCCGATAGGTGAATACGAACACGCGCGCGTACGTGGGTGCAAGCGTACACAAAACGGCGCATCTGCGAACACAAGCGCACACTTGGAAATACAATTAACCGGACAACTGCTGAAAGTGTATTAAGCGATGAAAGTCATTCAACAGTTGACAATTTTGACAACACAGAACCGCGCGACATTAGCCCCACATACAGGGTTGACAGTAGGGTTCGACAAACAAAGGAGGCCTAGCAACCGGTAAGACTTGCGATATAATTTACGTTCTTCAGTAGTTATACCGGTTGAATAGCATAGACTGTTTGTCTGGGTGTGTTTGTGTACCTCGTGCTGGCGAAGTGACTGGAAAACGCATGTAAAGGGATGAGAAGCTTGTTCGTGATCACCAACTGAGTGTCGTGGTGAATTTTCGAGCGAAATCGCCATTTGACAGACCACCCACAGTAGACCAACAGCGTTCTGTAGACCGGTCGGAATTATGGTGGAAATTCGCTACTGCAATTTTTGAACGTATTTCTAACACAGACACAGAAACGCAAGAATTTGAGGTTTCAAGTTGCGTTGAAGAAAACAAGAGTTTCAGTAACTCGTATTTCTCTATTTGGAGTGTTTCTGACTGACGCTCATCCTGGTTCCTGCGGCATTCTGAGCCTAGAAAATCAATCTCCAGAAATTACTGCGATGCGCTCAAAATTTAGGCCATGGGTGGTCAGGTCAATACCTGCCGATATCGAATTCCTTGAAAGATAATGCTTAAGGCCTTTTATCGGTATCGGGTGTGCCAGCCTGCCTAAGTAAAAACAGCGCAGTGGATGACACACAAATAACGATATAAAAAGCGATTCAGACAGATGGTGCAAATCGGTAAAACGTATATCGTAGCATTCAAGGTTAAACTACACGAAAGCATGTTATGAAAGCGACAACAAATAGTAGGACAAAATGTTGTAAGATCACACTAACTTTCTGTTTCTTGCGACCGGAAGGAGCGGTGGATTCGTTGCCCTGACCCCCAGCAGCCGTGTTACCCTTGTTGGCTTGTTTGTCTGTGGCCAGCGTCTGAACGATAGATACTGATTCAGTGCTAAATGACGGATCGATGTCGGACAGACCCAGACCGGAGTTAGGAGTCAGGGGATTGTCGGGAAACATGTGGTTTGGATTGATCATTGTCATTACGGGACTTTCGGGGTGGGAGCTCAGCGTACCAGGGAAGTCGGAATGGTTCATAGGTACAGGAGAATAGCGTATACTTCCAATGTTTTGTCCATCTGGAGGATTCGGGTAACTGGGTGACCTTACAAATAGCGCCGGTTTCGTATTGAGATCTTGTTGCTGTTGGTGTTGCACGAGATTGCGCAGCAAATCTGTCTGATTAGTAGAGGTCATCAACAAATTGGAGATGGCTTGGTTTGGTGGCTTCATGGTTGGGGACCATTTAACAGTAGTGGTGGAAAAGAGTTGGGGGAATTCCAGTTCACAAAAGAGGTTGCCCTCGACCAAACAGACTTTGTCACCTGGATTCAACTGGGCATGACAATGGAAGCAGCAAAAACACCGCACGTGGTACACACTTTCTTGACAACGCATCACCAACTCATCTGGTGGGATTTTCTGTCTACACTTTGCACAGGTTCCAGACAATCCAAAAAGTCTAAGTGGAAGGCAAGGATGATGAAAGCAGTAATGATCATTAGGTCAGATGGATTGCCAAGTAGTACAAGTAGTAGGCACAAACATTGGAGTCATTTTCTTTTATCGATCACGCCGAGACAAACGAGCTTAAACAAGGTACCCGGGTCCCTTAGACGAAAATAATTTAAGAGCAGTGCAGTGGGCTGAAGCACGGAGTGAAGACTGGTAACCATCCAACCAACCTGCGCGTACACTCGTTTCGAAGGAGTGGTTTTGAATTCAGGGGCCATTGTGGTAGTTATTCCTAGACTTTGCTGCTAACAGACAGTAAGTGCCAGTAAACCAGCGAGAAGAGCACATGACTATTGCTGATTTACTAAGCCCAACTTTGATGAGATTTGCACATCTGATCTAACATGGTGTTTCGGACGTTCCCTACCTTGGCCAGGTATTCCTGGCTCCCTGTGCAGCAAGCTTGTGCTGTATTCAGACTATAAATTTCTGTTCAATCCATAAGCACGACACCTGCACGTGTCGACTCGGCCTACAGTCGATCAACTAGTCATGTAACCGGCCTGCTGGTTCCCATCTGCCCGCAGAGAGATACCAAAAATCCACAATAAATGCCTAAATTCCCAAAACGGATAGTTGTAAAGCCCATCGTTCGAGTTCACTATCGTTCCAACAAAGTGTGGGCGTCAAACGGAAACCAACCAGATTGCTGCGGGAGTGGAGGAATTCCAAAATACCGACAGCAAACAAGACAGAGACAATCATCGCTTCCAAATGCACAGCATCAATCCCGATTGCCCGATTTGAAACCCACGACTTCATAATTCCACTGGCAACTGTGGTCAACTTGTTCACGCGAACCGCCACGAAAACACGGTGTCCTGCAGAGGTTAGGTAAGCATGGGAGTATTCGGTGGAAGCCAAAACAGCTAGATGAAATCGGTTGGGTGAACAAGAGTTTCTAACAGAGGCCTCAGCGACCTTAAACATAATTTGTACCACAGTGGGGCAGTGTTTGCTAGTTCACAGTCCATCAGTGAGCAACTGCTAATCGCACAGGCGTCTACGTTAGAGGCTAATCTGACAGTCGCAAGCTTGAGTATAGCCCTGAATTTCTTGATGCTGGAGGCAGGGTGATTTTTTGCAGTGCATAAGCCCTTGTACCTCATTCGGGTAAAGTGAATCGAAGAGGTGAATCACCTTATCCGCCCGTTTTTCACATTCGTTGGTTGATATCGGGAGAATGGAAATACGATCCACAACTAGTTAATACTGTGGGGTAAGGCGTAATGATTAAATTTTCTGATGAACCGTAATTACGCTCAGTTCAACTTTACCTGGAATCGATGGAGCATCGGGTGAGCCAAGTTCTTCTCAATTGTTAGTAGTTTGTTGTTATTGTATGTCGACAAAAATGCAGTTTAGGTATCAATTAGCAAAAGCTCATTAAACGATGACCCAAATAGTTGTATCGGATGCAACATACATATGCACTCAATGTCAATTTATAAATGTATAAATCCACACAATATGATGTGATAACTTTGCCAAGGTCGACAAGCAGACGCTACCCTAATTGCTTTTGTGTGCCAACAATCTACTACGCTAAGATTTTTTAGTGGAGCGACAGGGTCGAGAGAGACAGAAAAAACTCAATCACGGGTTTCAATGATAGAAATTCGTGGCCACTGTTTTAAGCTGGTGATTAGCACAGAAAGAGAGAACGGCGGAGGTGGCATCTAGGAGATCCAAGCGAAGTGGATCCAGGTTCAACAAAAACTTGGGTATGACCGCACCGCTTTTGATATGAGTCAACTCATTCTTCTGACGGGATCAAACGATCGGAGCAATCGATGTTATCTGTGTGGATCCGGATTCACCCCAAACCCTCACGCCGAGCAAAGCCGATACCCCAAGCCGTCAATTTTACCCGTTTACAAAAAACATTCCCGGATCTACAGCAATCGAAATCGAGATTATACATATTGAGTATGGAAATGATCATCAGCGTAATGTCCATAAAAGGCACCTTCACTTTGGTCAAGTAGTTTCAAAATCGGGGAGAAACGAGACACCCCACTTCATCACTCTGTCCATTAACCCTATACGCCGGCAGTACACAGAGTTGCGGCTCAAATAGACAATACATGGCAGATTAAATGAAGACAGAGTACAAATAAGTACTTATACGCAAAGAACACGAAGAAATGATTAGTCTGAACAATACAAGTCCGTAACTGTCATGGATAGGAAGTGTGTGACTAACTTTGAGGAGCCAGGCAGTCAGTTTAGCAGCTATAGGCCATGTACTAAGGGGTACGTTGTTCTCCATTGTTACAGTTTCGATCACCACGAAACGGAACAGTAAGAAAGATACAGCAAAGACTGGAGGCCAAGGCATAATCGGTTAGTCCATTTTGAATCAGTCTAGTTATTTGAAGAAACGGGGAATTGGACAGCCGTAAATTGAAGGTGATAGCTTTGATGCACGAGCCCAACTGATGCCTAGTTGAGCCCTGTCTACCAGACTCATTCACCATAGATGAATTGAGTCTTGTTATTTTGCTCCAATTCTCCCATCGTGGGGAGGAAACACTTTGGTAAGACTTTGATAAAACATTAGATATCCGCATCTCACCGAGAGAGAGAGAAATGAGCTAAAGCAGCGAAAATCGAATCTGGGATTCTCGAAAAAAACTCGGGGACTTGGTATGGAGATAGCAGAGAACTAACCGAACTGTGTTGTGTGAGCAGTTTGGACAAGGAAATACAAGCATGCCCAAAAAGAGATAAAAAAAAGCTGAGATTTACGTTAAACAATCGGTGTTGAAACGTCTTCCGGACGGGAATTTGACCGCTCCTATCTACTTTTAGGTAACCTTACAGTATCTTAGTCATCGTGCTCCCTTCGGGTGGAATGCTTTGAAAGGGTCCTACAGCTAAACGATTATTACTATCATGGGCGGTTATCGATATTGAAAAAAACGTTCAGTTGTAGCCCCCTTCCGGTGCCTAGCTGCCATGCCACCCGAGGGGAGCACGAGGGATGGGATACCGCTAGGTTGCTCAAGCCTAGACAAGGGAAGTCGAGAGGCACAGATCATGCTCGAAACACGGACCTTCCGGTCAGTAAATTCGCACTCTAACCACTTAGACCATCTCGCCCCCGATTATCAATATTGTGGCGTTTGTATTATTACTAGTATTATTATTATCAACTCACAGTGTGTTGGTAAAGGTCTATGAAAATTCTCAATTCTAGAAGCAGCAAACATTATTTTCATTCTCAATGAAACTTGGTACAATCCTGAACAACGATACATTGACTTGTCACCAGTGAAGACAAGGTTGCCATGAGCTCTTAATCAAACGAAACCTATTATAAAAACCAGAACTTATGATGAATTGCGAAATCCCACATTCATTTGACGTCACTAACCATAAAAACAACAACAAAGATTTTGTGACGAGTGATACAGCTGGTACGTTCTGTTTCCAAAGAATGAGTTAAAAGGAACAGTAGTTTGGGAGAAATGCGGCCGAAAATCGATACCTGTAGAGTATAGCAAAGACTTCCTTGAAAGTAGAGTCCTGTAACTCACCAAATTAAATGGAAACTAATTGAATCGATTAGAAAGATGTGGGACGTAAAACGTAGGGAGGTGGAGATGGGACAGTGATCCGGCGGGTACCTTGAAGATACCTAAATCATCGAATGATATGTTGATTGTCCGAATTTATCAGAAGGTACTTTACTACTAACGTGGACTACAGAAGAAAGGAGAGATCATAGCTCGAAATCTGTCGCATGGATGAGTATCCAGAAAAACACAGAAATATTGGGATACACAAGGACAGGAAGACGGCACAATTAAAGTCAGTTGGCATCGGAAAGGTGAGCATCATTCTGAGTCTCGATACTAAGAAGCATGGAAAACATAATCTCGTTTATATCTTTGTAATGCACTACTGACAAGGTTGGTGAAAATCCGTCGACAGTCCATGACCAATCACAGACGAGCCCAATCATGTCTACCCATCTGTCGTCCATCTTTTACGCGTGAACATAGTTCAACGTAGAGTTCTGTACCTCATTGCAGTCGCGTACTCTGACCGATGACCTTTAACTCCTTTCTCACCGTCGGGACTTGGCCAGCACAGCGAGTGTTCTTTCGAACTGTCACCTTATCACTTCCAAGGTCATTCGTTCCACGAAATGCGCTCTTCACCCCCAGTTATCTTACTTCGGTTGCCCGTAGAACTCACTCCGTTTTTTCCATAACTAAACTAGTTTATACACTCATTTGCAAACTAATTTGGTTTTTTTCAGAGACTCACCTGGAACCCAGCTGAATCTCTCGTTTGTGATATTTCCAGGCAAATGGATGTGAACCTACCTGGTGAGTCTCAAGAAAGGGCGAAACTGAAACATGAGGCGGCCTGGTGCAGCACATTCAGTTGCCTGAGAAAATCACAAACGAGAGATTCAGCTGGGTTCCAGGTGAGTCTCTGAAAAAAACCAAATTAGTTTGCAAATGAGTGTATAAACTAGTTTAGTTATGGAAAAAACGGAGTGAGTTCTACGGGCAACCGAAGTAAGATAACTGGGGGTGAAGAGCGCATTTCGTGGAACGAATGACCTTGGAAGTGATAAGGTGACAGTTCGAAAGAACACTCGCTGTGCTGGCCAAGTCCCGACGGTGAGAAAGGAGTTAAAGGTCATCGGTCAGAGTACGCGACTGCAATGAGGTACAGAACTCTACGTTGAACTATGTTCACGCGTAAAAGATGGACGACAGATGGGTAGACATGATTGGGCTCGTCTGTGATTTGCAGATTAGGAGTAGTTGCGAGGCGGAGGAAAACTTTCAGGAACGGAAAGCTGCGAGTCGTTTGACGTGGGACGATCAGGAATGCTTGTTAAAGAACAGGTCGGAGACCATCAGGTAAGGTTCGTGTATATAGGGAGAGTGTAGTCGGGGAGTAGAGCGGCGATGAGTTGGGGAACATCATTTGGAAGAGCTGAATAAAACTGAATTTGAAGAGTTGAATCGCGAATGTTAACAAGGTCACCACTTAAATAAGAAAGGCATATCGCTGGGAATGACAAGTGGACTTGCAGAAGGTAGCTTTGCTTGTAGATGAATAAATGCGAACGCAGACGAGAGTACATGAATATAGTGGTTCCTTCTTGAAAGAAACCATCATTCAAGCAGTACTCCAAAGAGACTATCCCAAATTCACTGAATTGTGAATTCATCACCCTCTTTACTAGGAACGGGAAACACCCTGAAAAATAGCTTTGTGATTCCGTTTTTTCCTTATGACTTTGGCAAATCGAGCTTTACCTCCGCAGCACGATACTCAAACACGAACAAACGTATTGCACGAGTAGGCAACAGTTTCACCTGTGACTCAAGTTTCCTTTCGCTTGCAAGATAAACCAAGATATGACAGGTGACAGTCAACTTGCGGTTGGGCTCACCTTTTTGCTTACTCTATGGAATGACAACAGAGCGTTTATGGTGAAAGCTTCTCCATATGCTCAGGGGAAGATGGTCCATAAAGGAAACGTCTACTTACGGGAAAAAGGGGAAAAGATCAAACGTAAACCATTTCGTATAGTCCAGTGTATCTTCTAGAATACCGCACTCATTCAGTAGTGTTTTGTTTTTTCTTGTCGAAAATCTGCGTGGAAACTAAAAGTAGTTAGAAGACGAATTTGTCGTAATTGATTCGTTAGGTTCAGGTTTCGTTTTGAGCAGTACCTGTAATAAATAACGCCTAGAAGCTAGTACCAGTTTTACATGCCCTCAAGGTATCGTAATTGAAACGGGATTGGGTATGGAATGAAACTTTTGCGTTAATAGTGTAGATCTGCTGGCGGAGGGTAATAAAATCAATATTCACGCAAATTAACAAGGTTGATTATTCAATCATCCAACCAGATTGGGTTAGGTAGTGGACTGGGATATGACACTTTTGGAGTTTCACAACATCAGTACTGATACGGTTTGCACAGACAGAAGACTTCCAGTACTGAAGGAGACCTTCGGTTTCGAAGTGCGCTCTTCGGGTTATCGCGACTCATCCCTCCCTACAGCACGAACAGCTGTGAAATCAGTTTATCCATCGCAGTGAAAATGGTTGTGTCACATTTCCACATTACTCTGAATGCATGGAACGACGTACTGTTCAAACCATCCCTCACTGACCACAGGAATGTCGATAGTCTTGGAGTACGATATTGGAAATACAGGCACGATACGGAAGCGTTAATTCCACGTTGAAGCCATCGCGAACATGGGCCGGAACTTAGCCATATCGATTAGTATGTGGTCGACCTTTTCGTGAGTGCCAATCACGCCATGCTCCGTAAGGCAGATGCGTGGTGTATAGAGATTTGGCAAGCTAGGAAGTTGAGACATGGATTCCAAACATCCTAATACATGGGCATCCAAGTAGGAAAATCTGTGGCCGAAGAAGTTAAAGAAATCATTGGGCAGTAGCAGAAAGGTAAATCGGTTTGATTTGTTGATAATGTAGTGATGGTTTATTCACTAAGCTTCATAAACCGACCGGAAAGTTCTCTAGGAGACGTCATTCAAATCAGGCCACATATCGTGGTTACTGTGTACAAAAAAGTTCAAATGGTAAAGTGGCGTTGGAATACCGGATTCGCTGTTACAACGAACACATCTTTAGCCTGTATGCATTCACCATAGCGGGTATTCCTAAATAGCCACACTTTCGCCGGTCGCAGAAGCTATACCCAACGAGATCCATCAGGAGAGGAGTTTTAAAACGTCTGTTGACCGCAAATAGCGTAAAAGATCGACGACCAAACTGGCATGACTTGGCATAATCTCAGCTCTCATGATTCACTCGGCCAAGTGCTTCGTATCAGGATGATTTAATTTGTTTTACTGGATCAACAACTATGTTCAGCAGCGGAAGCGAAATGGTCAGTTGAACCTCCGATTAACACCAACTCAATGTGCAAATGAGCGTCATTCGCCACTTGTGTTCATTCGAGATGGTCTAAGTAATTAGAGCACAGATTTACTGAACGGAAGGTCCGTGGTCCGCCTCTCGACTTTTCCTGTCTAGGCTTGGGCAACCTGAGAGTATCGCAGCCCTCGGGTGGTGTGGCAGCTAGGCACCGGAAGGGTGCTACAGCTGAACGTTTTTGTGTTCAGTTCAGCTTAGTTGGCATCAGTTCTACTAACCAGGCGTGTGGGATACACATACATGGCTTGGAAAACGAGGGAGTTGAGGGCCAGGTCATACGCATAAGAAGTCCAAACAGAAGGTGGTAACGAAGTTGGTCAAACTGGAGGGTTGTCACGAAACAGATTAGTGAGTTGAAATGGGCACAGCCACCACCATCATCACTGTCACCAGTAGAAGACGGCTACATCAATAACTACGGGATAATTAGGTAGATCGAAGTCACTTGTGGTTGTAGACCGAAAAAAGTTGTACCGTTAATTAACTCAAGAAGCTTAAGTTTGTGGCCACTCGGGCAAATAACACCATCATGCAAAAAGACTTCCCCGCACTACACACACCCAAACACACGTGTGTACGACCAAACAAGTCATGCGCAAAGCTCATTAGGGAGAGTAATTAACAAGAGTAGAGGTAGGTAGGTGTAGATTGTCTAAAATACACGTGGATGGTAGGGCGGTGGAGGGTGGTATGCATAGAGTGGATGCGCACATGGCCTTGTCAGTTTAATTAAACATCACACTCCTCAATTACGACGATACATCTCATTACGCCGTGGCTGCGATCGTGAGGATGATGATGGTTATGCTGTGGCAGAGGGACACTACAGTCAACCAGATGAGTTTAACGTAAGGGGCTGCCAACGCAAACTAGTGGAATATGGAGCGCCAGACTAAAGATTAGTTTGTTAGATTGGGACATTTCAAGGTCGAACAGAAGGGATTGTCCGCGGCGATGATGCCAATATTCCAGGAAAACTAGGGCTCTCATGCACGAAGAGTCGTACAAGCTTCGGCTAGTCAGAATATCATGCTGAACGCCGTGCTTTACCAGTAGAAGGACGGTATCCGTTTGTCCACGTGTAGGTCTATGATAAGAAATTTAAAAATGAAAAAAATACTCCCGTTGGATTTCCCACCGTGATTTTAGCACCTTTGGTAGAAATTATCTAAGAGAAAGAATTTGGAGACATGATTATGGCGAACTGTAGGTCGACCGCACAAGTTGAACTAATGAGAAGAAAGTTGCGCCATAAATAGCCGGACATAAAAGGCACTCATAAAGTACTCCCCCTTAAAGCAGCTGGGAGGAAAAGGCCTTTCGGCCGTCTGTTGAAATCGGCCTCATTGGTGGTATTCTACATGTATCAGAGTCAAGGAATCAGGTGGTGAAAAGATGCCAGAGTTGATCTTCGAATAGAAAGCGTTCAACTGTAGCACCCTTCCGGTGTCTAACTGCCATGCCACCCGAAGGAAGCAGGAGGGCTAGGATACTGCCAGGTTGCCCAAGCCTAGACAAGGGAAGTCGAGGGGCAGAGGTCGGATTCGAACCACGAACCTTCCGGTCAGTAAATTCGCGCTGTAACCACTTGGGCCATCTCCGAATAGGAATTCCTGTAAGCTTCCAAGCAAACTTCGTCAGCTATTCCATGATATTTATCTGTCGCTTATCCAAAATCCGAAACAGCTTTTCCAAACCAACGCCCATCGAAATCCTCTTGGGGCGCACATCTTAAAAAAAATGAATATTAGCTGTTAATTACATGACGTAATTATTTGTTCCCCTATTCCTCAGGCCAATTCATCACCTTCCGTGACTGCTCAAGTTTCAAGACTGGATCGTTATTTTATACACAGTCGACTCTAACTAAACCGCTTTTCTATGCACGATTTGTTTACATTTATTTCTGGGCTTATTGTTGAAAAATTGTCCCACTTTGAACTGAACAACAATTTTCCCGTTTAATTTGTCCGATAGCACACTGCGCTTCATGTGATATCCTGTGTTGCTAACTGCCCAAGGTTCAATCTAGCCGTAAGCCTTTCTGTAATTCTCCTCACGATTTACTGTTAATTTCCTATAGAACCACGGTCTACCTATCTATGCTGCCTGCCCAAGTCCAATTCAATATATTGTTCACTGCCCAATTGCGACTACTGAACAAACACAGGTGAAGTTCGTAGAATTCGGTTTCGCCGCAGTTATTACTGACCGTCCGTTGGCGAATTAGACTACATGTTACCTGTCAGATAGGACACCTAGATCGTGCGTTTAGGCTGATTAGCTAATTCCTTGCTTTGAGATCACGGCCTTAGCACAGGATCACACAAAGTTGGCTAGAAATACCGTCCGAAGTTCAATATCCGGCTACACTAAGACGCGTAATGTCTGTGTCTCGACTGCCTTCTCCGTCTCGTGCTTCGACCAGTAGCGGACTGTCTACGCAACAATTGATGGGAGAATTGGATCTGGCCCGTGTAAAGATTAAAAAGTTAGAGTTGGAGGCAGATACTGCTAAAAGAATTAAGGAATATCAAGACAGTGTTCAACGGGAGATGGAGAAATTAGATGAAATTGCTCGATCGATGAATTCTGGGGGTTTGGAAGCTTGTCACTGTCCTGCAACAAATGAACAATGTGATGCCGTAAGTTCCATACCAGACCCAAAGGACTTGCCAATACCTGTTGAACAAGATACTGTTATCAACCCTCCAAATATCCACTTACGTAATGCTAACACGAGGCAAGATGATCGGCTTCTGGAAACCGCTCATTTGGTGCAAACATGTATGGGACTTCCCGCGCGACAGCTGCCAAAATTTGATAGAAACCCCGCCGACTACCACAGTTTTATGCGCAGTTTCATGTTCACTATTGCCCGACGCACTCGTGATCCGGCAGACCGATCCTCATACCTGGTACATCATTGTGAAGATGAGGCAGCCCAGGCTATTAGACGGTGTGGCGTTTTGGAACCCGAGGAAGGCTACGCAGAAGCACCACGTATACTTGAACGCCGGTTTGGTGATCCCCATATCATTTCAACTACCTCGGTAGATCAACGGACAGAACGGCCGGCCCTAAAAGGTTGCCTCATCTTCACAATGATGTACCAGGTATGAGGATCGGTCTGCCGGATCACGAGTGCGTCGGGCAATAGTGAACATGAAACTGCGCATAAAACTGTGGTAGTCGGCGGGGTTTCTATCAAATTTTGGCAGCTGTCGCGCGGGAAGTCCCATACATGTTTGCACCAAATGAGCGGTTTCCAGAAGCCGATCATCTTGCCTCGTGTTAGCATTACGTAAGTGGATATTTGGAGGGTTGATAACAGTATCTTGTTCAACAGGTATTGGCAAGTCCTTTGGGTCTGGTATGGAACTTACGGCATCACATTGTTCATTTGTTGCAGGACAGTGACAAGCTTCCAAACCCCCAGAATTCATCGATCGAGCAATTTCATCTAATTTCTCCATCTCCCGTTGAACACTGTCTTGATATTCCTTAATTCTTTTAGCAGTATCTGCCTCCAACTCTAACTTTTTAATCTTTACACGGGCCAGATCCAATTCTCCCATCAATTGTTGCGTAGACAGTCCGCTACTGGTCGAAGCACGAGACGGAGAAGGCAGTCGAGACACAGACATTACGCGTCTTAGTGTAGCCGGATATTGAACTTCGGACGGTATTTCTAGCCAACTTTGTGTGATCCTGTGCTAAGGCCGTGATCTCAAAGCAAGTAATTGGTTAATTAGCCTAAACGCTCGATCTAGGTGTCCTATCTGACAGGTAACGTGTAGCCTAATTCACCAATTCATTGCTTTAAGATCACGGCCTTAACACAGGATCGCACATTAACTAATGGCGTTATCATGTGACTTCTTTCGTACACTTTCAACACTAAATCTCACAATAGAAGCTTCGCTCAGCTCTGTTGGAATAGCATTGTGGGTTGACTTTGGTCATACAATCGCAAGCTAAAAGTGAGCCGGAGAATCACTTTCCTGCATTTTTGTCCTACAAGCATTCGACGTTGTTCCTGCAAACAGGCAAGTAGTGCATCAGTATTACATGATGAGTAACTATCACACAATGATCTATGCTCACATCAATACGCCAGATATGCAGCATATGGAAGGAGGCCTACAGCGACATTGCTTGATAAGGGTAAGCCCAAGGGTTATCGAATAGGTATGATGAACTTTTAAGCGTTTTTTCTACGTTAAAGGAATTTTCATGATGGAAACTACACACAAGGTTGCTGAAAACGCTTTGACAGCCCACGATTGGGTACGCTCTTCTTAACGAATTTTATTAGTTTAGCAGCTATGGGTACGTTATCATCTACCGCATAACCTGTACTTTTTAGGGTCTTTCCCTTATGGTCTTTCTTTGGGGGAGAACTCATGTCTGTGGGAACGAAACCATGGACTCTCTCAAGAGGTTAGCAGTGGCCTCCTCAAAGGTGTGAAATTCTATGAAAATATGGTGAGGTATGAGTGTTGTGAACTCTTTTTGGGAAGACTTCTACTCAAAGGGATTATCGGATTTTAATCAATCTAATCTAATGATTAGCCTTGTTTGGTGCAAAAAACATCAGCACAATCTGTACAAGCAGTTCACGTAACTTTGAGCTGGAGGAAATAAGCAAGTTGACAGAGCTGCACACCATGCGCTTTTATGCTGGAATTGGTTTGTAACCTAATCTTCCAACACAGGCACTTGCCCACATCAAGCACGATTTGGCTTGTTCGGGCGATCATTACTCTAACCATTCTCGGTGTTAAACTAGGGTGTTCTGTAGGGACGGCAAATAACTACCGAAAACGAGACGAGAGGACATTGGAACGAACATGTGAATCCATGTATTTTGTTGTATGCCTAAAGCGGCCACGCAATATACTAAGACAGAGAGTTTATGGAAGTGTTTCATGCATCAGGTTTCTCAACGAAACAGGTCAAGATTTGAGGCGCACTACTTGATTGAATAGCCGAAAACTCCATACCAGAAATATAAACGTAGTGTTTTTCAGGATGTGGGAAGGAAATCCTTCACAACGATACATTCACGGTCCTCACATTCATTATTTCTCCCTTACATTGATCAGCCGCCATCAGTCGGTACCGACAGCCTGGCGAAATTGGGCGAATACGTCAAACCAAGCGTTTAATTGCACCCGTTAGTCCAGCAGCCTAATTACGAGGACAATCCCCAGTTTAATGATGTTGAAGTGATAAGCGTAGGGATAAGGGGGACAATTTACATCTGAGCTAATTCGTTGTTCAATTTGAGCACCTTAACATCAGAATGCCAGGACGATTGTTTGTGAATCTTGTCTGTGCCTTTCATAGAGTACAGTTTCCAAGGCAAGTTAAATGGAAATGCCACAAACGAGGGTGCTGTATAAAGATGAAGCCTGTAAGCGATTGCGAGAACAAACTGAATGTTATCCAGTTGGGGTTAGCACCGGAAGAAGCAACTGCGTACATGAACCACTCAAGGATATCAGTGGGGACGGATACGACCGAGACACAGGGCTACCAAACGTGTCTAAAACGCTCACAAACCGCGTAATTTTATACTATTGAGCACCAAAAATCATCCACCACGCGCCCCATAACGTACCTTGGCTGTACGCTTGACTGTACTTCGTTTGGGGTCATGCGATAGCGAAGTATTTAACGTTAAATGAAAATGTATTCCATGTTTATTCCAGTGTCTAGACTGTGTTCATTGATCCTCCCAACAGTTAACAGCTGAGCTCGGATATTCAGTTACTTTTGCCAGCTCCGCTGCTGATAACTGTCGATGATGCCTGAGTGCTCACCTATATCGCTCCCGTTTTTTCCAGAATATTTGTTTACTAAAACAAACGTACGCATCGGTTCACTACACCCATTACACACTATGGCAATTGATCAATTTTATCAGTAAATCAAAAACTAAGACAGAAGCAATCATTGGGACTCACGGTTGAAAATGCGGACGGCTGTACTTTACAGTGTATCAGTTAGGCACCTGGCTGCGACATGAACTAAGACGGTAAAGTGGGATAGGCAACATGACCTGACAGGGCGCATCAACGTGGGTTGGAGCGATGGACATGCTGAGGTGTGCTCCAAGGCCAGTAAGTTAAAAGTGCAAGGTATCTAGTCTCAAACTCCAGAGAAATGATCAAAGGAAGTGACTGACCAGATCGGATTGGGAACGCGCAGGTCAATTTTACACGCATACCAATCGTGAACGCCTCGTGCGCACTCACTGAGTTCTGGCAGTTGCCTACCGTAAAATCAATATTCACATCATTCTCTTTTGAACAGTCATCCTCGCGTCTAGGCGCAGCGATTCTCGTGAGTCCATAACAAGGGGGAGGGGCATTGGACAGAATTTTCGCTTCTACTGGAGCTCATCAGCAGGGCATATTCTGGGCTGTGCCGAGGTTTGAACTTAGGACATATGAGACGAGCGTGTTGTTACCACTACTCCACGAACACGCTGGACTCATCTGAATTTTCACGTTTGAACAGGCGGATGTGTTCACGCTTCAGCGATGTGATTGGTTTGCACGACGACTGGAAAACGACCTTGTAACTGCCCTGGTTGTGACGGTCGATCGATTGTGAAATTGTTTGACTGTTTGCGCTAGAAAAGCCTAGTATGGGTTGAATGCATCAACTTTTCTCAGCAGATTTGCAACCAGCTTATCTGTTACTGAACTAATAACAGAAGCTTGTGACCAGACATTCCTGTACGGTCGAGTGGACCTGTGAGAAGTGTATACATGGTTTAGGTTGACATCAATGAAGTCCCATCAAGTTCAGGCTCTGTTCTGTTGTTTTTCAACCATGAACCGGGTTCTAGTAGC